AGAGAGAGAGAGAGAGAGAGAGAGAGAGAGAGAGAGAGAGAGAGAGACGGGATATGTAAAAGAAGAAGACTTTCTAAACAGAGGGTATACTAACTGCAGGAATGCTGAGACTTTCAAACTAAATAACATAAACTCTTTCTTTTCCTTCTTCTTTTTCTCTTTTTTTCCCTCATAAGGGTGACTGATTATCCATGTGGATGAATAGCTTATGGCCATTGCTTTGCAAGTCCAGTATCATAACAACAGAGTCCAAGAGTGACAGAAACAATTGTGTAGCCAAAAATGTCATTGTTATATTCACAACAGACCATTTTCTAAGCTATGAGAAATGATGCCATGTTGAACCAAATGACTTTTATCAATATCACATCCAAGAATTGTATGTTATATCCAGATTAAAGCAGAAACATTGAAATCTTTGACAATTTTTATATGACATTTGATGTTAGTGGTGGTGAATATCTGCCTTGCAGGTCTCATTTCCTTACACATTGGTTTTTCAAACAAGACATAACAGGATCATTAATTAGTCAAGGTGAATTCATTTGAATCTTGACTCACTAAATACACATTTCTACATTTGCCTGCTAGACTGGGAGACCCACAAGGAATAGGGGATGAGATCGAGGCGACAGACACTTTGAAGAGGAAACAAACAGTAACAACGAACCCAAATGAACAAACAAACAAACAAACCTAGAAGGCACCCAGGATAGAATGTTTGACATATAGTAGTTAAAGTTAGTTAAAGACACCACCTCATACATGAATGTTATAGAGAAAAGGGGGTATAGTTACTCTATCTGTAATGATTCCATAAACTCATGAAAGAAATACAAACAATATGTCAAGAAAATGTGTAAGGGAAAGAGGAGAAAGAAGATGAAAACAAAACAAAGAGACAGAGTGGAGAGGAGGAAAGACTGGGGGGGGGGGTTGGCATCCCTGACAGGAGGGCTGCTGTCACTGGGAAGCTTGAAGACAGCTATGGCAGCTTTCTGCATCCAGGAAAGGCTGCAAACTTATTTATGTACCTAGATGGCTGTTGTTTAATAAAACATAAACTGTTTACCAACAAGGCAGCTGATCCCCATTGACCTCCTGGTAAGTCAGGGATGTCATTTCTGCTTCCCTGGTAGAAACAGCCATAGCAACTGTCTTGTCATAGCATGAACAAGAGTTACTGGAGTTCTGATGTCTCTCCCACACCTCTTCCTCAGGCTTCCTCTTCTACAGGAGTCCACCTTTGCCATGTTCCTGTGCATCCTGGACCATTATTCCAGAAACACTTGTTTGTCGTACACATTCTCAGAGCAACTCAGAATGATTTGCATATGTCTGATAGTCATCTTTTCCTTGGTTTGTTAATCACCAATTTAACTCCATATTATGGTTATTTGTGTATTTGCTTTTAACTTTGATTACTTTTAAACATATGTTTAATGCTCTAATAGTGGATATGAGTTGTTAACTAAATGAGTGAAATAATATTGAAGAATTCTGTGACCTTATTGAACCTTCCCTTGATAGACTCCTGATTTACTCTAAACCAGTAACTGATGTCAGGATAATAGAAGCAATCTGTGGCCCCTGAGAAAACTCTCTCAGGGAGTTTAGCCTTCTCTCTGTCTGTGCAGCAATTACCTGTCCTGACCAGGTACCCCTTCTCCGTCTCTGATTGGCTCTAAAGGACCAGCTTGAAGCCTTGTCTTAAACTTTGATCTTCTTCCCTCTCTTATTTTCTTACTTGAAAACTCTTCTTTGATCTCTTTTGGTCAGAAGCAGAGTGCCTACCCTGTTCTGTCATTTATGTCCTTTGCAATCCAGTGTAATCTAGATTCAAGTCATATTGCTTCTCATACCCACTTCTTTTTCATTCATCCCACTCCTAGGTTTACCAATGTAAGAATATTCTCTTTCATACCTCCAGGTTGTTTCTTTTCCTTGTGCATTCCAAATGCACAGCTAGACAACCAGACTGTAGTCCTAATTGCATCATAAAATATTCTAATTCTCTTATTTAAAGCATCCCCCAGGCTTGTTTTATCTATGGAAGATGTATACAATTATTAACATGATACACTAGACCAGGACCCACTGACTTTTGCAATCCTAAGCCAGTCTCCTCCCCCATGACATCCCCAGACAACTAGAGAATGAGAAGTGTGTTGGGATACTTACGTTTCTTGAATTTCCATATATGTAGGTTTGTCTGAAGCTCAGCTGGTGATGACTTCCTCGTATCTTGACAGTTCCCTTCTGATGCTTTGCCACAACTCACTTGGGCTGTGTGGTCACTGCTCATTTCACCAGGAATACTTCAAAATCAGAAGTGAGATGTGGAAGTGGTTTCTATGACTGTCTCTTAAAGAATCCATGATAGAACTAACACTAGTGAGTAGCCTACAAAATGAGACTCCTGGAAATGTTATAGAATTTTACAAAGTAATATTATCCAAACCCCTATCCTCATGGTTCTATAGCCTATTTCCAAGGCATCTTTCCATTACAGAAAGATTAAGAACTATGATCTACAGTGAGACTTCTCACCTTAGTTGTTAAGTAATATTATTTAAGTGTTTATTGTACAGTAGATAATATAGATTGTCTTGAATGGATAAAGCACACCTCTACATTTCAATTTTCTTCTCCGAGGTAGGAGAGAAATGGGAAAATAAATTACTTAACAGAATCCTCATGTGTATAAAAAACACACATAATTTTAAAAGAAGAGTTGTAAGTTAAAGATAAAGAGTGAAAATATCAAGTGGAAGGAGCAGAAAGAAATAGCCAGAGGATCAGGGAGTTTGCTATGAGATTGTGTCCCCTAGTAACTTCAGAAGCTATACTCATGAAGTCTCACTAATATCACTGCTCAAATATGAGCTGAATATAGACAATACCAATTGACATGCCAATGGACAAGGAAAACCCATGAGGTCTCAACATACACAAAGAACTACAGGCAACAGAGAAAAGTTGGGAGTAGAAGAGATGGTTTTCCCCAGAGAAGAGTACACTAAATAGTTATTCAGTGCTAAATGTCCATCCTTGAAAACATGCAAACAAGTAACATTATAAGCACTGAGCAGGTTGTGTGTGTGTGTGTGTGTGTGTGTGTGTGTGTGTGTGTGTGTGTGCGCGCACGCATACAATAACAATCAATGGGGAAAAGTTCAGGAACTCAAAGAAGATTGGCAACAGGTATATTGAATGGCTTGAGGAGAGAAGGAGGAAGGGTGAAATGTAATTATAATCTTAAGAAATAAAACATATACATATTTTTTAAAAGAATAAAAACTGTTTAGCAGAGTTCTGCAATAGGTGCTGGATTTTGAAGGACATTTTGAAGTTCTTCTTGTGCAGAGGTGGAAATAAAGCACTCCAGGGAAAGAAGAGGCTTTGAGCAAAGGCTTGGATGCATCTGTTGGGGATTGTCAGTCACCTGTTACGACTGAGACATCAGATAAATGAAGAGAGTGCAGGTGTCTGCTAAGGAGTCTTACCAAAGGCTCAGTGTGTGGCTGTATGAGTATTTCCTATTTTAGCCTGAAATTACAAGAGATGCAGAGAATTTTAGATTACCATATGACATTTCTATGTCTTCACCTTGGAAGTTATTTTATTTGTGCAATGGAATGAAAATTAGAGTAAAACCAAGCAAACAAGATCATATCATTGGACGGACATTCTGTTGGTTAAGTTGGAACTATATAAGGTTGGACAAAGGTCCACATAGGACAACTTGCCCCTATACTGAACAAAAGTTAAGAATGGGTTGAAGAGAAAGGTGTGTGTTTTAAGTATGTCCAATCACAAATAATGACAATGCTGTGCCAAATACAAACATAGAAACCAAGATGTAATTCTTGAACACTTTAGAACAATAAATTATGTTAGAAAGACACAGAATTCCTCAGGCAAAAGAACTAAGCTGCTACTTAGTTTCCTAACAGGGAAAGGGTAATTTTGAAAGTCCTTAGAGAGAAGAAAGAGATGTGAAAAAAGCCTCCAGGGGCTGGAGAGTTGGCTCAGTGGTTAACAGCATAGATCTTCTTCCATAGGTCCCAGATTCATTTCCTAACACACACAAAGCAGCTTTAAACATGTTAGGAATTGGTTCTAATGCTTTATCTTAATTTGACTCCCAAAGAAATTAGGGAAATGACACCCTTCACAATAGTTGTAAATAATATAAAATACCTTGGTGTGAATCTAACCAAGCAAGTGAAAGACCTGTATGACAAGAACTTCAAGTCTCTGAAGAAAGAAACTGAAGAAGATCTCAGAAGATGGAAAGATCTCCCATGCTCATGGATTGGCAGGATTAATATAATAAAAATGGCCATCTTGCCAAAAGCAATCTACAGATTCAATGCAATCCCCATTAAAATCCCAACTCAATTCTTCACAGAGTTAGAAAAGGAAATTCTCAAATTCATATGGAATAACAAAAAACCCAGGATAGCAAAAACTATTCTCAACAATAAAAGAACTTCTGGAGGAATCACCATCCCTGACCTCAAGCTGTACTACAGAGCAATAGTGATAAAAACTACCTGATATTGGTACAGAGACAGGCAGGAAGATCAATGGAATAGAATTGAAGACCCAGAAATGAACCCACACACCTATGGTCACTTGATCTTTGACAAAGGAGCTAAAACTGTCCAGCGGAAAAAGGACAGCATTTTCAACAAATGGTGCTGGTTCAACTGGAGGACAACATGTAGAAGAATGAAAATTGATCCATTCTTATCCCCTTGTACAAAGCTCAAGTCTAAGTGGATAAAGGACCTCCACATAAAACCAGGTACACTGAAACTAATAGAAGAGAAGGTGGGGAAGAGTCTCGAATACTTGGGCACAGGGGAAAAGTTCCTGAACAGAACACCAATGGCATATGCTCTAAGATCAAGAATTGACAAATGGGACTTCATAAAATTGCAAAGCTTCTGTAAGGCAAAGGACATTGTCAATAGGACAAAACGACAACCAACAAATTGGGAAAAGATCTTTACCAATCCTTCATCTGATAGAGGGCTAATATCCAATATATACAAAGAACTCAAGAAATTAGACTCCAGAGAACCAAATTACCCTATTAAAAAATGGGGTATAGAGCTTAACAAAGAATTTTCAACGGAAGAAACTCGAATGGCCGAGAAGCACCTAAAGAAATGTTCAGTATCCTTAGTCGTCAGGGAAATGCAAATCAAAACAACCCTGAGATTCCATCTCACACCAGTCAGAATGGCTAAGATTAAAAACTCAGGTGATAGTAGATGCTAGCGAGGGTGTGGAAAAAGAGGAACACTCCTCCATTGTTGGTGGGACTGCAAGATGGTGCAACCACTTTGGAAATCAGTCTGGCGGTTCCTCAGAAAATTGGATATAACATTACCTGAGGATCCAGCTATACCACTCCTAGGCATATATCGAGAAGATGCTCGAACATATAACAAGGACATATGCTCAACTATGTTCATAGCAGACTTATTTATAATAGCCAGGATCTGGAAAGAACCCAGATGTCCTTCAACTGAGGAATGGATTCAAAAAATGTGGTATATTTACACAATGGAGTATTACTCAGCTATTAAATACAATGAATTCGAGAGGTTCCTAGGTAAATGGATGGAACTAGAAATTATCATCCTGAGTGAGGTAAGCCAACCACAAAAGAACACACATGGTATTCACTCACTGATTATCGGATATTAGCCCAGAACCTTGAAATGCTCAAGATGCAACTCACAGGCCACATGAAGCTCATAAAGAAGGAAGACCAAGTGGGGGTGATTCGGTCCTTCTTAGAAGGAGCAACAAAATACTCAAGGGAGCAAATATGGAGACAAAGTGAGGGACAGAAACTGAAGGAGGGGACATCTGAAGACCATTCCACCTGAGTATCCATCCCATGTGCATTAGTCACCAAAGGTAGATGCTGATGTGGAAGTCAGGAAGTGCATGCTGATAAGAGCCTGATATGGATGTCTCCTCAGAGGCCTTCAAGAGTCTGACATATTCAGAGGCAGATGCTCACAACTAGCCATTGAACTGATAATGGGGTTCTCAATGGGGGAGTTAGAGTGAAGACTGAAGGAGCTGAAAGGGTTTGTGGCACCATGAGGAGAGCAACAATACCAACCAACCACAGCTCCCAGGGTCTAAACCACCAGCCTGGGAGCAATTAGGGAGGGATCCAGGGCTTCAGCTGAATATGTAAGAGTGGAGGGCCCTGCTGGGCATAGGTGGAAGAAGAGATCCTTGACCTCATGAAGGCTGGAAGCCCCAGGGGGTGGGAATTTGAGGGTGGGGAAGTGGGAGTGGGGGGGTAGGTAGGGGTTACATCCACAGAGAAGAAGGAGGAGGGGTAAGGGGATAGGGGGTTCCCGGGTGAGTCGGGGATGGGGTAAGGGGACAACATATGAAATGTAAATAAAACATCCAATAAAAATTTTTTAAAAAAAGCTGCACCTCCAAATGCTGAGGGGCCCTACCCCCAGCTCTTTTGATTGATAATAAAGAATTGCTATATAGCCAATGGCTGAGGGAGACAGGCAGGATATTTAGATTGCACCAGCAAAGGACTGAAGGGGAGAGGAATAGGAGAAATATCAAGCTGGAGGAAGCGGAAAGAACTGCCAGCATGTGGGAATCTGGGAAAGTGGCTCTAGGTACCACTCTCCCAATTATGTCTGGGGTAGCAGAGATGAAATGTAAAATTTAAAGCTGTTAACTTAGGAATACCAGAGGGGGTGTGTGCTAGCTGCGGAGAGGTTTAGAAGTGCTCAGTCATTGAGCTAGTGAGGGCATATCAAAGTTAAGTGGCATGTATGTCTCTTTCACTCATGAATCCAGAACTCTCGGGCAGGTGCAACATTTGTTAGACCTGGTGGGAGCCAGAGCAGAGTAACTGTTTACTGCTACACAAACTATCTGTAACTCCAGTTTCAAAGCATACTATGCCCTCTTCTTCTTTTAACTCACGTGGTGCACAGGCATACAGGCAGACATAACACCCATAGACAAACAAAAAATAATGTTTCAAATATTTATTTATTTTATTCTTTGTGTATGAGTGTAAGTATGTGTATGGTTTTGGGATTGGCCACCTGATATTGATATTGCCTTTAGTGAACTCTTTCTAGTGAAAATGATTTCTCACTCACAGCATTCTTTAGTTACCTATAGTCCAGTGTTCTCTTAATTTTCACTTGCCTGATGGCTAACGATGTTGAACCTTTTTCATATATTGTTTGGCTATTTTACTTATTATTTTGAGAATTGCCTGTTCTTTGCATTGGCCTATTAA